ATCATCCAATCTACCGTAGCCTAAGTTTTGAATGTAAGTATAGTTTTTTTTTTATGAATACATATTTATTATTTGTAGTCTTATTGTTTAAATATTAAGTTTAATCAAATTGCATTAAATGTGTTATTATTTTCCAATTAAATTATTTCGGGTAAAAATTGATTTTTATGAAGCAGATAGAATTATTTTTTTAATCTTTTTTGTGCAGTAAAATAATTAAAAGGAAGAAAAAAGAGCAATTAAAAATGTTATGTTATTTATATTCATTAGTAGGAGCTAGGGATAGAAAAAGATAAATCACATTTGAATTCTGAAAATTGGAATTCTTTTTCCGTTTTTTGCTTTTTACTAAGCTTTTTATTTTGTGTTTGAAACTTAGTTTGAAATAGTATTTTTTTAAATTTTTTTTTTTTAGATTTTTTCAGCTGAAATTATTTTTAATAGATGTTATTTAATTGAAATTTCAAATATCAAATTCGATATTTCTTCGTAGGCTTTGTTTTTATAAGTCCAAACTGCAATCCTTTATGAACAAAAATGCACTAATGCTTATTTTATTGAAAATTTAGCATGTTTAAAAATAAAAAAGTTTCAGTTTTTTTTTTGATAAATAATTCTTTTTAGTTATTTTGTTGTACAGTCGTCCCCACTTAATCGCATGTCGGATAATTGAATAACCCGCTTATACGAATAAAATTTAATGGAACCCCCGCCTAATTGCATAGAGAAGTGGTACTGACTGAGTATCTTAACTGGTATCTTAACTGAGTGGTACTTTCAGTTAAGATAAAGATACAATAGGTGGTCACTTCAATAGGGACTTCTTATTCATTAGTAGGTGTTTGGGGTAAAGTTGAAAAGTTAATCAAATCTTGCTGCCAGTTTCATACATTGAAGTAAACGAATGGGTTTTTACCCCTCTTTGACTTACTTCACAAACACATAATTTAAAATGTAAAAAAAGGAATAGAGTGATTTGTCTTGTGATCCCCTCTTGATGCACTATTAACTTTGATAAGAAAAAAGTTTCAGAAACCTAACACACTAGTGTATAGAGTGTCTTTATCTTAAATAGAATAATTGCTTAACCCATTGAATAACTTTGAGTTGAGAGCAAAAAGGAATGATTTAAATTAATCGGAAAAAAGCAAAACAATGAATCTTAGAAGTAATAAATTTCGGAAAACCCTTAACTAAAATAGCGCATTAATTTAAATAGAGTATTAATTCAGAATTTCTCAAATTTCGAAGATTAAAAAAAATAAATAAGTAAAAGAAATTCTGAATGTGTTTGAAAGGAATACACACAAGTCATGAAATTTTTAGTAGAGCACTAAAAGGGAATATCTAGTTTTGATGAATTCAACGGGTATTAAAAACTCTTCAATTATAGATTTTTCGGAAGGGATCAATTAATATTTTAGTACCTACTTTATAGTTTTCACTAATATTGATTTATTTTTATGCAACTTTAAATGACATTTATATTTTATGATACTAACGAATACAGTTTTAATTATAATTGTTTATTGAACATAAAACTGAGCTTATTTAATCAAAATGCTATACTATGCATCAAATACCATTAAAAAGTAAAATTTCGTAAAAATTCAGAATTTTGGATTGAATATTGCACTGCCCTTTTAATCGAATAACCCGCTTAATTGCATAAATTTGGCTGGAACCGATGGTATTCCTTTAAGCGGGGTTGGCGTATTTCTTGTGTATTTAATTATTTACTGTTTTTATATTATCTTTTTTACTAAAATTAACAGTTTTTCATTTGTTTAAGTTAATTAGTAATAAAAGAACTTAATAATTTTGTAATTATGTAAAAATTCAATTCGCAGTTTTGTATTAAAAATGCTTTCATAAGTTTTTATTGTTAAATCTATTAGCGTTAACTGCACCAATGACAGTTGAGACAAATGAAAGAATTTTCAGCAATGTGAAATTGATTCAAAACTATTTTCGAACAACAATGACCACTGAACGCCTAAATTCACTGCTTTTATTCAAAGCAGAAAAAGATATTGTTGACAATATTAAGGTTTATAAATTGGCAGAATATTTTTCACTTTTAAAACAACGTCGAAGTAAATTTAAGTAGTTAATATAACATAACGTAATTTTACTAATATCTTAATTCATAATTTAAATGGCAAATTTTTTCAATGTTTTCCTACATTTTTTTTATTTTTTAAAAAAATGAAAGGTCAATTTACTTTTGAATGAATTTTGTTTTGAATGAATATCTTAAAGAAGTCTGTTTTTGCTGATTATGACTTACTTTATTATCTTCAAACAGTTGCTTTAATTAGCTTATGGTAACAACGTTTAGAAGAAGCGAAAGATACATTTTAATTACTAAGTGATTTTTCAAAAAATATTTAAATCTAAAGTAAAAAGTATTTCAAAGTTGCATTGAAAACAATTAAATTTACAACTTTATTTTTTTAAATTATTTCCACAAATTATTATTGCTTAATGTTACTGAAAACTTATTTTAATTGAAGAGGTTTCAGTTTATTTAAAAATAGTTTTTTTTCTTTAATATTTTGTTACCATTTTAATAATTAAAATCAATGTAACAAGCTTATTTTTTTGTATTATTTTAAACAAATACTGGTACTATTTAGTTATCAATAATACCGCATTTTTCACCTATGGCGGTTGCATTTTTAAGTGCTGTAAAAATTATTTCGATGAATAGCATTATGTTTATAACTAGTCGAAATGATTTCAAAATAAACTTTGGAAGCTCAAGTTTTGTGGCGCATTTGAACTCTTTTATTTGATTTGTTTTACCTTTGATTATCAAGCTTTAGCCATATACAAATTGTATATATATATATACACTGCTCAAAAAAATTAGGGGAGCACATGGCTCCCCTAATTTTTTTGAGCAGTGTAACTAGTCAATGAAAAAAAATGGATTTTATGTGGTTTTCTAAAGTATCTTCGAATTCTGCAACCAAAAAACACAGAAATTATGGAAGATCCGTAGTTGATATCCCTGCGTGAAGTTCAAGCTTTTATTTTAATAAAATAAAGCAAATAAATGACTTATCACGTATATAAGACAGTGACTAATTTCACAGTTCTTGCTNAGTCGCTTTTAACGAGCAAGACCCGGTTTTAGCGAGCAATATTTTTCTGTCTTGCAATCTTTTTTCTCATCTTTCTAGTCTTTCTTTCTTATCTTTTTTTCAAAATGATAAGAAATGTGCGCGAAAAAAAAAAAAACGCGATTAAATTAATTAATGTAATTAGAGTAAGTAAGTATTAATTACATTTTAAGTAAATCCAATCATTTGACCTCCCAAGCCCCCCCCCCTCTTCTGGTTGCGCACCTGCCTTAAGCACCAGTTTATTACGAGCACTCGGATTTAACGAGTACATGTTACGGTCCCTTTGTGCTCGTTATAAACGAGTTCGACTGTACTACCACGAATTATATTTATAGATTATTTGTTGCCCTTCTCGATGGATTTAAGATATTAGATTTTTCAAATCATTTTTTTAGCTAAATAAAGGTTAACTGCATTATTCAGTTTTATCTGGCATAATGCTGTTTTTCAAGGCAACTATGATATCGAAGATTTATCACAGTCAAGCTACTATCTCCTATACTTGTAGCATTTGTTCGAGGGACCGTAAGAAATCTATTATAAAAATGCATAGTATTGGTGTCAGTAATATTATGGCGAATTTTTACCGTATCTCGTAACGAATAAGTACATTTACTCCATCAATTTAGCTTTTTTGGTTTTATTTCAATTAGTACCCATCTCCAAAAATAATTAAACATCATTGACATGAGTATTAGTTTACCAATTTTTAATGTTCTCTTGAACGAATTAGTTCCATTTTTCAATAATTTTTCCTTCTTAGTGCATGGCTTACTTCTTACTTAAAATTGTAACTATTACCAAAGTTAAATATCTCTGACGTCAATAATTATATCGGCGTTTTAATGTAATACTTTTTCTTCAACAAATTAAAATTACCTTTTCAATTAATTTTGCTTCTTTGTTCAAAACATTAATTTCAATTATCCTTGATTGAAAATTATTTAGTTTTATACAAACCCGTTTTAAAAGCATAACAGTAAACAAAATAAACGCATGGTTACCAATAACCTTAAAAATATTAATCAGGTGACGTGGTCTGCTTATGCTAGCCTGATCACAATATATACTGCGCTGGTTTATCCTGCACTGATGTTTTTTTTTAACGTTTAATGCCACTGAAGTTAAATACACAGGTAGATCACCTGTTGTGAAAATAAAATTTTTTGTTCAATTATCGAAATATTTTTTTTAAATAAATATGAAAAATAATTCTACTACTTATAACTAACTGGATTTTTTTTTGTGGGGGGAGAATCTTTTTTAACCCGTGACTAAAGACATCTATTAATGCATTTGATTTGATTTAAAAAAAAAAAGCTAAAGCCAGTAGTCAAGAAACGATTGAAACTTGTATTTCCATATTGTCACTAGCACTGAGCTCCAGTTAAATAAAGCTTGATGTTCAAAATTTCGACTGACAATAAATTTCCCTAATCAATAATATTGCGATAAATTCTGTTTATAGCGATCAGGGAACGATTGAAGCTAGCGTTGGCAACTCTAGCAGAGATTTCGCACTGATAAACATGGAAGGGAGTAGAAACGCAGTGAAACAAGATAAAGATTCCAGGACTGCATACTGTTCATACAGATCAATGACGCAATAATATGCTATTTTATACGTATTAATTCAAATTCAAAACCTAATAAATCTATTGGTCACGATGTGTTAGATCACTGGAATTTTCTTTGAGAATTCAAAAGGTAATGTACTCATTTGGAAAACGTTTTTTTCTTCTACTTTTCCGTGTTACCTGAAACTTTTCTTAATACCATACATGATTGTTAACCCCAACATCACGATACAAGATATACGTTATTTATAACTTGTTTGCACAGTTGTATTCCAACTTCAGTAAATGCTTCATCATAATTACTATTCTCCAATCAACACTCGCGATTTAGGTTGTAAAAAAATTTACTCCTTTTCATAGAAAACCCACAAATATAAGGTTTACAATTACTAGAAGGAAATTCGTTTGTAATAATTGCATGATTTTAAAATATTTCACGAATATTTTTTATATTCTATTTCGATTTTAAAATGAAATTGTTTCATGTCTTATTATTCACATTTTTAAGTTTACATTTTACTAATGCTAGGCGTAAAAGTAGAACGTTAATTGATATGACTTATGTATTTGATGAAACTACGCTGCGTTATCCAGTATTCAGCAAATACAAAATTGAAAAATTAGTTAAAGGTCCCAACAAAGATTTGGTAACAAAATGGTAAGTATTGTCTTCAGCTTTCGTACAAACTTTTTATAAACTGCTTAATTTTTCCCCCGTTGCATTCTTGATATGTAACTTTTCGCTTTCAGGCCTAGCATTCACTAATGCTAGGCCTGAAAGCAAAAAGTTAACTAAAAGCAAAAAGTTAATTGATATGATTTTTGTATTTCATGAAACTTCGTTATATTATCTAATATTTAATGAGTACAAAATTGAAAAGTTGGTTAAAGGCCCCAACAAAAATTTGGTAACAAAATGGTAAGTATTGACTTTCTTACGAATTTTTCATAATCGACGTAATTTTACCCCCAATTCATATTCTGACTTCAGATAATTCCTGAATAATAATAGCTCATAAAATCTTTTTAATTTTTAAAATATATGTTACGAAGTGTAGTTTTGTTGCTCTTTTGAATATTATTTTATGTTATGAAAGCTTCAATAATTGTTCTTATTTTAATCAAGACTGGGCATTTTACTAACCGTTAAAACTTTTTAAATATTTATAACAAAATAAGTAAAAAGCAAGTGAAATGGTTTTTATCGTCAGTAGAAGAAAATAATTTAAAACATAATGCTATAAATAAAAGGAATTTTAATAATAATAGGAATTTTAATAATTATTATCACCACCACTTTTATTTAAATATATCAATTAAAATTTTATATGCTATAATCAGGGATGTCAACATGCTCCAAACATCAAATAAATATTTTAAAGTGGTAGCTTATGAATTGTAATTCTTTATTAAATAGATTTTTATCCACCACTACTTCTAAATAATTCGTACACGTATATAATTCACCACTTTATAGCATTTACATACCCTCCAACTTATGAGGATTTTGAAAATAATTCTTTCTAGTGATAGCGAACCAAAGCAGAAATTTTTAAAGCAAATGGATCTCTCATAAAACTTTTATCAGAACTTAAGAATCTAGCCATATGGCCTGCACTTTTATAAGTAATAGTGGACAAGTTACGCTAAAATTAATTTTTCTTAAATATTAAGACATTAATTTTGTTACCGTCTGAAAAGAAGATTTCTGAAACTACGGAAATTCCGTAGCAGTTGGAGGGTATGCATTTATGTCATGCTATGCCTTTTATAAAGCAAAAATAGTCGAGTATTAGCAAAATTTAATTGATAGTTTTTTACCGTTTTTTTAAATTATATTGGCATGTCCGGAGCAGTTGGCATCTCTGCATAATCAGTGGTCGGAAGCAGCGCACTACAAGTAGTAAAACTACTGTAGTCGCTAATTTTATTGTAGTTTGTAGTATTGTGAGCAGTGCGATACAAAAGAATGTAGTTTGAAGAGATTCCAGAAAATTACTTTTTATGTTAATTTAGTCAAGGAACAGAGTTCTAACACAATTAATTTATGGAATTTGATGGGAACAAATTTTCACGCTTCCATCAATGGATGCAATTAAAAATGCCCCTGTGACTGTGAGTTATCAAAAATTGTATGTTTAGAAAATTGTATAACTAATATTTAAACTAGCGATTACGAATAATAGATAATTTATCAATTAGGTCACATACGAATGCATACTCGTGTAACGCATATGTTATTTTAAAGGAAGGGAACATATTTTCGATGTACCTAATTTCTTAGAAGAAATAAAAGAGCATTAAGCACTAAACAAAATTGATAATATTTTGTAGTTTCCTAACATTTCTCAAATTAAATATTCGCTGTGGAGAAATCATAAAATGTTATTTTGTGTAAAATGTTAAGGCTTGCTTAACAAATTTAAAAAAAAATATTTTAGATTACAAACTGGCTCGTGTGAACATGAATAAATATTTTATCATGATTCCTTATTTGTTATTCAAAACCATTTTGAACATGGTAGTAAATTATGTTCTCCGGGAAAGTTCACTTCCCTAAAGTAGTAAAGTAGCTGCTATTTCAAAAGTTGCTTGTAGCCACTACATTTAAAAAAAAAGTAGTTGCAGCTGTAGTTAACTACATTTGTAATAAAATAGTTGTAGTAAACTACAAAAATAATGTAGTTTTTTCGAGCACTGGACATAATAATGCTTACTGTCCATACGTTCTATGTACAATTTAAAAGAAATTAACACTATACTGCACAATTATGGGTCAAACTGAAGACAGCATAAATCTAAACTTTGTCAAAAATTAAATAATTTTAAATTGTATTTATTTTTTAGAATTATTTTCTTACTTTATCCTGTAGGCTTAAATTTTAAGTTTAAGAAAAGAACACTAACTTATAACCAAAAAAAGGATTGACCAAACTCAGTTTTAAAAGTTTCTGTATTTAAATTTGACGAAACAAATTTTCAAAGAATAAAATGCATCGAAAACTATTCACAAATCTAAATTAGTTACTGAATACTGGGCAGATAATTTATCACAGGTTAGCATGAAAACTAGATCCAATTTCTCTCCAAAATGTTTCTTTTTTTATTTTTTATTTATTTTGTTCTATAATTCCATTTGCTGCAGTAGGATTCATACCTAAGAAACTCGAGAATTAGAAAAATTCTCGTTCAGGCGATTGCGCAATCTAAGTTCATGATTAGTATGATAAAATAAAATAAATGCATATTGCTTTCAGAATTTTTTTTTCTACCTGAGAAGTAGAAATATATGTTTATCTAACGTTGAACTTTAAAGAACTTTGCTTCTCTTCCTTTTGACCTAATACAATGTTCCAAAGGCATCATCATATCTATTTTCTTCAGCTGTTCACGATTTAGTAATGATTTTACAGCATTAGAATATTTGTGGTATTTTAAGTTAAGTTTCTTAAGAGTCACTGCCTTCCTCTTCATTTCTTTATTTTCAAAATTGTTTTCAGTATTTCACATTCCATATTTATCGTTAAACCCCATTGGAAAATGAAAAATTTGACTGAAAATTGTAATTATGAAAAAATTTTTGTCCGCCAAGCCCGCCAATCGTTCCGTTTGTGTGGAAATTACAGGTTTAACACGTTCACTCCGGGGTAACCTACCGGTGGGTCACGCTGGATTGCTTCATCGGGTGGCGCACCGGAGTAAAAGCTGGTAACAAATAAATTTCATTTTATAGTTTTTTTCCGGGAATAATAAAAATCCATAACTACCAATTGTTTTTAACGGATGCGATTTTTATATTGAATTGCTTCTTCGCCGTGATAAATTTCCTTACAGTGAATTGTTATTGTTAAGAATAGATGAACTCCTCCCGAATATTTTCTAATATTGAAATAGTTCTTCTACCAGTATTTTCTCTTTTCCGTCTCGCTTTCAGGCGCAAAAGCCGGCGGGAACGTGTTAAATCGCGCCGTTACCCTAGGTGTATTTTTCTTAATGTCCTTCTCTAATTTGCTCTATCTGTTCTTCCATTTAACAAAGGGTTATAAACCATAATTGAGCAAGCAAGCCCGCGAATGTATGTAACACCAATTTAATTTTAATGTTTCATATAAAATTAACAAGATTTTTTATAAATGCGAAGTGATAGCTGAAAGTTAATCTTCTCTCTATCTAAATATATTAAATCCCGCTCAAGTTCATCACTTGTAGGCAAAATTTTGATGGTCCTCTTAATATCTTTGACATTCAGAGTAAAAATGATATAACTGACAGTTAAACAACCAGTTTTACCGGTTTTTGTGGATGGGGTAGTACTGGTTTAATTTATTTAATTCAATACTTTTAATTTATTTAAATCACTACTTAATTCAATACGAAAATTATATTGTTAGATAATTCGATAAATTGGATTTGTTAAATTGAAGTGAAAGAAAAATAAGTTAGTCAAACTAGCCATGACCACATGTAAGCTAAAGCTTTTTATTTTTTTCCATTACGAATCTGCACAATTGCATATATGATTCGTCCGTTCCGAAAAGATTTTTCAAATGATCAGCTAATAAAAAGGGGATTTAATTGATTTTGCAAGTATGCCAGGAATGCCAATTGTTTTATTTTCTGCAAAATATTTTATTACGAGATAGAGAATTACAAACCAAACTCGCCGAATTATTGTGAATTTCGCCCTCTCTTTAAAAGATTCTTCACAAGATAATTGCGACACTTCTCATTTTATTAGAATTTATAGGCTCTGGAAAAAATAATTCTTACAAAACCAAAATTTTTTATTCCACTGGAAAACAAGATTGCTTACAAAGTGAGACAAGTTGGCATCTCTGTCTTGTTATTTGACAGGTGTTGAATATACAGGGATGGTTTACTTAACAAATTTGCTTTTATCATAAATTTTCTATAATGCCATGGTGGGTCCGTGGATAGAGCTCTGGCCTCCCGATGAGGTGCCCCTAGCGATGAGGTTTGAACCCTAGCGATGGCTGGACGATAAGAATTCTGAATTTCGGTTTGCTCCGACCACTCTGCTAAAATAAAATATCCTCAGTGGTAGACGGATAATGGGTTTTAGAGGCCCCTTGCTGTCATGCTATACATGAGAGGTTTCGTGATTTCCTTCTCCAACCAAACAAAACTCGGATAAAGTTCAATCAAAAAGTTCTGTACAAAGGCACATTTCTTCCTATACTTAATCCAGGAGTCCCCCGGGCTTCTGGATTGGTTCAAATTCACAAGGCCTCGGAGTTGAAATATTGATAGTCGTAAGCTCAAAACTGGATCGGCTATTCAATGACAGTTATAAAAAAATACCTATCATACAATTTTATTATTTTATTTTTATTTTAGGCTTCAATATGATTATTTCTCAACCTACCCACGCACACTGGTACGCACATGGATGCTCCGGCACATGTTGTCAAAGGAGAAATTACTGTTGATGAGATACCAGCCCGTTCCTTCTTCGGGAAAGCAGCAGTCATCGACATAACTAGAAAAGCATCACTTAGTCCTGACGCTGTAGCTACCGTTGAGGATGTCATGAACTGGGAACGCACTACACAGAGGAGTTTGAATGGGACAATAGTTTTATTGAACTCTGGTTGGGGCCACAAATGGAACGACCGTGATGCTTTTCTCGGATCCACAAGCGATGACACCTCAACATTGCATTTTCCAGGATTCTCACCAGAAGCTTGTAAGTGGATGACGGAGTATAGAAGTATCAAAGGAGTGGGCTCTGATACCGCGTCCATTGATCCAGGTACCAGCACCAGTTCACCCTGCCACGGTTATGTACTAAGGCATAGATTGTTTATATTAGAAAATGTAGCCAATATTGGTGAAATTCCAATTTCAGGTGCTACACTTTATGTATTTCCAATGAAAATTGGTAAAGGTAGTGGGGCACCAACTCGAATAGTTGCATCAGTGCGTATTAAAAATTGATGAATGCGAGCAGTTTCAATGGGGAAAACAAAAAAAGAGGGTTCGAAAATTATGAAACGAAATCAAGTTGCGCTATAAAGAATTAAATATTTATAGTCTAACTAATAATGGTGCGAAAAATTGGATATACGATTCAACCTCTCGGGAGCGACCACCCTCTGTTCCACAGTAAAATTCTCGTTAATGGAGGTTGGTCGTTCTTAGGGGTTATCTCCATTGATTTCAAAATGCTATAGAACGTACTTGATTTTTGCAAGTGATTTTTATTTTACTCAGTGTCATTTCCTTGGAGCGGAAATTCCACTCGTGTAGGCGTAATGAAAACCAGATCGATGAACAAAACTCATCGTCGATAAAAATGATCCATACTGATATAATTATGAGTAAAAACAAATTTTTCAATTATGAATAAGAGAACTATTTTTAAATCAATAAACAATTACGTTTTTTTGTCTTAGTTGTCATTTAATTTATATCATAAATATTATTTAACTTTAATAAAAAATTGGAAAGTGTTTGTTTGATATGTTAAGTTTTTTTCATGCTAATTGTTTCTCTAATTTGGCTTTCAGCTCGAAAAATAAATCTTCGATAATATCGTCCCTAGTGCACTCTGACCGCAACATGAGGTTGTCGTTCTCTTTCGTCAAAAAGAGTTCTCCAAATAAGAGCCTCCCACAAATATTTTGAATACATTTGAATCTACTTAATAATTTTTTGATGATTTTTTTTTTGTTCCTTATTTGAATTTTGCCGGTCGCTAGGAGAAGTATGTTTTGATGGTCTATGGAAAAAATACCAAGTCTGTGGAAGAGATTCCATACCTCCCATAATTTGCTGTAAATAGAGGAGGTCACTACGCAGAAGGACGTTTAACTGTGATTGTATAAATAATTTGAAAATTCAAATTCCCTTTCGTCGCGAGAATCAAAACAGTGTAAAAATCACAAATTCAAAAAAATTTCCAAAATAATCTAATTAAAAATTTGGTCCACCACTTTTTTTTTAACAAAGGATCAATTTAAATATAAAGTTTTCCGATAATAGGAGCGATAAAAGTTATTGTTAAAATTTAATATTAAGAAGATCATTAATAATGAACTTCCCGTTCATGTTCGTTCATTTGAATTCGCTACTTGCTTTATAGATTATGTTTAATTCTGTTTTCGCTTTACATTTTATATTCTGTATTCAAGTGTTATTTTTACTTATTATGTTCTATTTTATTTGTTGTAATTTTTGTAAAAATTTTAGTGCTCCTCACACTATTGTATTGATATGATACTTTGCTTTGTCTATATTGATACAATATTAGAAAGCGCTCTTTTTGCGATATAATCGTGTGGGCTGATGAAAGGATTAAATCTTTTATTTTCCGGATTTTTTTAAAAAAATTTATCCCTTTTTTTCGAATTTTAATAATTATTTTTCCCCCAGTTGTTTGTTATTTTTTTTATTATTATTATTCTATCTTTTCCTTCTTTTTTTCACANTAAGTATAAAAGGTAAGGGTTAAAGTATAGTTTGTCACGTCCTGTAGCATACTTCAAATCGGAGAAGTTTGCATTTGTAAGCGGACTTTCTTGAAGTAAACAAAGTATAATTAAGTGCAGAATTTTTAATTGATAATTCTAATCAAACAGTTTCCTTTTTATTTTAGTGGAGGATAAATTAAATTTTTGAAGTATGGAAGTAGGTTTAACTTATGGATGTACAGAACTTATAAGGCTATAATATAAAAAATTAAATTTTTGGTTTAAAAAACATTCTTTCCTTCCACTTTTAATCTTTGAACTACTGCTTTTAAAGAAACGCCTATTTTTCATGAAGAAGTCAATCTAGATGATTTATAAATAAGCTTATTCTGAATTAAACTGAGTTCATCAGCGTAATGGGATATTTTCGTGTAAATAAAGCATGCAGAAGAAAGTAGGCGTTAATTTTCCTAGCATATAAAGTATTGAACATATGACATCATAAGTGGAAAAATAATCTTAATTCAAGAAAATTTTAGCCATTAAACAACAGATAATAGATATTCAAAAAGCAAAAGAAAAAAAGAAATTATTTTCCCGCTATCGGGCATTTTTGATTGTATTCCAATACAATAATTTTACTTTTTAAAAACCTTACCAATATATGTTTTAAATTTTAAAGTAAATATAATTAAAAAAAATAAATTATAATGAAATATCCTGTCGGCTTGTAAAAACTAAAACTCGGGGAGTTTTACTTCAGAGAAATTAATTACCCTGGGTATGAATTTCATTATACAGAACGAGTAAATATAACAAGCTGATTCCATTCTATATCTATAGAGGTGGGCAAAACTGCTACTCCTCAGTCATTGTTACTACTGCTACTGGGACCCAAAAGTAACAGTGACTGTGACTAATTCGATATAGAATAGTGCTAATCGATATTTTATATCGATTAATCGTTTTAGTTTATCTAAAAATTATATAAATTTATCGCTTAGGTAAATTAATAAATGATCGATATAATTGGTTTTTTAGTAAAATTAATCGATATAATTAGTTTATAGTAAAATTAATCTGTATCATCAATTTTTAGTGTAGTTAATTAAAATAATTAATCGTTATACTGAGTAGTCATTTTTATGATAAGTGATGATTTTTAATAATCAATGTATATCGTAGTACGCAGTACAGTTGTATGATTTTATTAACCTAAGTGGGACGTTATTTAATTCTTATAATATGTCAAAATAACGTGAGAAAAGCTTTTATCTCAGATAAAATATTAAATAAAAACTCATAATTCTTCGTGTTACTAATGTTCGCGTTACATAATTTTATTACAGTGAAATCCAATCTCTAAATTTTTGTAGTTGAGTTATTGGCATTTAAAAACGATGAATGATGACATTAATTCAATATTTTATGTTAAAGAATACTGATTTCTTCATTAAATGTACAGTAAAATGCGAACTTAATCGCAAGTAAATTTTTAGTAATATTGTCAAACAAAAAATATCACCGTATTGATGAAATTCTTCGTAGTTTTTCAGCATTTTATGAAAAATTTTTCTCCTTTATGAACGAAAAGAATGCATGGTATGAAAACAAAAATTTATTTATTTTTGTTGTTATGATGAGGAATTTCGATATTTCCATAATTTTGCGTTTATTTTATCCTTGACTGGTAGCATTAATTTCGTACACCAGGATGTGTTATAAGGTCCAACAGATGGCACCACTAAACATTTCCCTTTAAATTTTGCTGTTAGGAAAGGGAAAAAAACACTTAGTTTTAATTTTTTTAATTGATGTAAAATATTCAACTGCTTTATCCGATTATTATTCATATTTATTTCAGCAAATTAGAATTAATCAATATTTTTGTGAAGCATGTATAGACGTGCTATGAGTAATAATTGAACTCTAGAGTATTAAATGACGACTGTCCTAGAGTTCAAAACGAAAAAAAAGAAGGAAAATAATCGACTTCAAAAACGAATTATCACCAAAGCGCTCAATACTTAAAAGAAGTATCAATTTAATAAGTATCAATACTTAAAAGAATTTAGATTTTGGCTTTTTCGTTGCCATGGCTTTTACATCGATCTTGGACTTTCTCTCTACAAAATAGGCGAGAACGGAATTTTTTTTTTTTAAATCTTATTATTTAAAAAAAATTATTTAAAATTTTAATTACTTTTTAATGAATATTGAAGAAGGAAATAATAACAAATATTGTAAAGCGATAATTTACGTCTTTTTCGCAGAAGTGTTTAAGTTGAGTTTTGTAAGTTTCGTTCATGTTGTGACAAATTTCGATTTAATTGTATATTTAGTTAACTGTATAGAACAGATCTTCATAAATTATAAAATGTATAATATAAAATAAATAATGAATAATAAAAAATGTATAATAAATTTTAAAAATAAAGGAGTAAAGAAACCATTTTATACAGTTTTCACAAATTTGTACCTCATTATTTTATTCTTTATTGAAGCATATGTTCAAAAAAAGAAAAAAAATTGACATGGCACCAATAAGCCAATTATAAAGGAAAAATTTTATTGTTTGTTAAATGATTAAAGAAAAACTAAATGTGGAAAGTATATAATAAGTCGTAACCATAATTATATTCATATTATGCTTCATTTTTTACACTACGTTCATATTAATGAAACGTTCTGTTATAATTAAAAAAGGCCCAAAGACGAATTATTTTTTTGCTGAAACCTCTCTTTCATTAAAAAAAAATAATAATGAAAAGTATTAATAAAAATTAGAATCGAATAATTTTCTTTTCTTTTTTTTTATTATTATTATTATTTTTAAATATGTCCTATAACATAACTTTATGGTACTAAAGAAGATTTTCTACAGATCTTGCAAACTTTCAAAAATCTGAAATAATGACATCCTTTATATAATAGAAAACCTTTCGATTATGTGAAAGATTGAATACCATCAAAAATAAGTAATTTAAATTACAAAAAAGTATAATTTTATTCGAATTATCAAATATTAAAGCATTCTTAACATTATAAAACAAATTATATTTAAACTAAAAATTTGATACAATCTTCAAATTAAAGAAATATTTATTGCAACTTAACTAATATGACTTATAAAAAATATTAAAAAAAGTGAAAATAATCAAGTTGCAAATCACTCAAAATGATTTCTAATATACTAATTAAATATCAATTCAAAATAAAAAGGCAATTATCTTTGTTTAATAAGAAACAACTCTAATTGCAAAGTTGCATTTTAAATTATACACAATTTTGAATTTCGAAACAAAAATATCAATTCAAAATAAAAAGCAATTATCTTTGTTTAATAAGAAACATCTCTAATTGCAAATTTACATTTTAAATTATGTACAATTTTGAATTTCGAAACAAAAATTTAATGAATGAGAAAAGCAGAAAAAAATGCTCAGATTATTTTAGCTCTTTTAATTGTAGAAGCATATGCCTTTCTGTTTTATGCCTTATGGGTAGCATTGATTAATAACAATTAATTGACTATTTACTTTTTCTTTAAACTCATACAAAGAACAGATGTTCAGCTAGTTAAAAATATGTTCGGAGTGATTAATACGTTTCGAATTTATTTGAATTTCGTAGTTTTTATACCTTAGTTTATATCCGTCGTTGTACAGCCGACCCAATTTTGGGTTTACGACTACTAATGTTTGACTCTGTAGCCTTGTCATTTTGAACCAATCCAGAAGACAATGAAACTCCTGGATTAGTACTCCCACAAGTATGATTTGTTGTGGGAACATTCACCATTTGCTACACTTGTCATTGGTCGGCGGGGATCGAACCCATGACCACTTGGACATGAGCTCAGTGCCCTATCTACCAGGCTATCCCGGACCTGAATTTCGTAGTTGACTTTGTAAAATATAGTAGTTAGAAAAATCCAGTCAAATCTTATGACATGCATTTTTTTAACTAAAATATATTTTTTTAAACAGATATTTGGAAATATGCTTATTTTTCCTATCGTACATTACAAGTGATGTACATTTTAATTTAGCCCTTTCGTTGCGGAAGTGTTGTCTACTCCTATAAAGTGACGCTGACGCCACTGTATGATGCACCACAACACAAAATGTGCACAATGCATGCTAAATTTTTGAAGAATTATACTTTTTGTATATTGCTTCTGGAGAAAGAATTTCTAAATCTCCTAAATTTAACACACACAGTAGGGATATATATATATATATATATTAAAAAATCTTCAAATCAAAATAAAAATTTTTTATATTTGAACTATTTTATGAAAAGCAAATTTAAATCGAGTCATTCTGCAGTTGGGGTGGATTAAAAGTACAATGAATACGAGAGAAGATGAAAGATGTTAATATTTTATCATTTTTGAGAAATAGGAAAATGTTGCGGTTAATCTTTGATAACTTCTTAGACTAGAGTAGTAATATAAGGATAAATCTGGGGCAACATTATGTTATTGTCACGTTATTGCATATGTTATTGTCACGAGAATTTATATTTCCTGCAAAAATTTTTGGACGATAATAAACATCTTACAAATAATCTGTTTTATTGACTAGGAAAAATTTGTCACGTTATATCGCGAAATATGGCTAATCTGTATTCAGCAGTAGTTTGTCTTATACTTACATAATCTCTCTTGTTACTTACATTATCAAGACTTAATTCTAATAGGTCACACGGCGTATCTAACGGAAATTTCTGTTACCGAATAAAAAATTTCTTTTGACCTTGACCCTTCTTTTTGACCCTTGATCTGGCCTGAAAGCGAGACTGAAAAGAGAAAACACTAGTAATGGAGCTATTACTATAGTAAATTAATTTCCGGAGGAGTAAACCTAAGCAGAATTCAGAAAGGAAGTAATTTAATATATAAATTGTATCGGATAATAAAAAAGATAGTTATGGATATTTTATTATTCTCGAAAAAAGCTAAAATAAAATTTATTGGGTACCAGTTCTTACTCTCTTCTGTTTTGATATATTATGACTTTCAGCTCTACTTCATCAAAAAGATAATTATTAATAAAAACTGACCAGGTCTGATCATGTAAATAACATTAAAAATAAAGTATATGCAGCAACCAACAAACTTCAAACACTCTTTCATAACCGACACCTTAGTTTAAAACTGAAAAAACTCCTGTATACCTCGATGATACGTCCTATCATGAAGTACGCCTCATCTGCCTAGTGTAACGCCTCCGAAAAAGATCTCAAAAAACTTATCATACTCCAAAACAACATCTTGAGAAAACTCACTGGAGCCAGATGGTTTATCCGCAACAACGCCATTCATAGAGATCTTAACATTGACCGCTTTGACCATCATTTCAACAAATTAAATGGAAACTTCTTCATTAAAGCCGCCACCTGCGATACCGCAAATTTTACTGATATTTTCGACTGCATAAATCTCAAAGAGGATGCAAAAATTCGACCCATTGCACACTTCTGATATCATACTAACATTTAACAACACAAACACTCACTGAGTTATTCACACGCAGATTCAGCTTATCCCTGTGAAAGAGCAACCCCTCGGGGTAAGCTAATCCATTTACTTACACATATACACACATCCTTATAATCCTTTAACTCGCCCCCGTTTTGTATGTATTTCCAAACTGTAAATACTGTAAATATTTATTAGTGTTTATTTTCCCATTGTACTTTAATTTTACCTTTTTCATGTACATTTTTATTACTTGTAATTTTGTTATTGCCTAATAATGGCAAAGTGCCATTTTTTTTTCTCAAGAACTCCATTTGCTCCCCAAACTTTAATTTTGTCATGTACGTTTCTTAGTTTAACTTCAGGATGAATGGGAAAAGGGCCTCAGACCAACACCTCCTAGAAGTAGAAAGGCCTCAGCACGGATCAATTTAGTAGTCCGATGAGATGAATTTAACTGCGCAGTAGACGAAAAATAAGAAAGATGTCATTACGTTAAGGGTACTAAGCTGCGCAATGGTTGAAAATACAAAATATGTCACTACGTTTGGACTACTAAGGGATATTTATGGTAACCCGTGCTGTGGCCTGTTCTTTCTAGGAGGTGTTGCTCAGACGCCCAGTTCCACTACAACGAACGATTTATCAAAAAGATCACTAACGTTAAATTAGATTTTCGCTTAAATAAATCATCAAATTAAAAGTAGGCGTTAATTTAGTTATCTATTCAGAAGTTGGCCTTCATATTTTGCATTGGTAATTCTACTCAAACTCCTGCTGTTTTTGTCGTGTTTATGCTAGTGCAAAGATTAGAGTCCTCCAAAAGTCTTGATAACAAGATTTGCAAGTTCTGGAGCCCGATGGCCATGGAGAATTTCGATGGGGGGAGGGGGTGCTTCAAGTTGAAAGAGGGAGCCGATAATGGCCTGGCAGTCAAAAACATGGTCTGGAGTTAGTTGCAAATGAGGACAGTACTTGCAGATGGGATAGAATTATATATGAGTGCGTGAGATCTTCATGCCCTTGAAATGTCTAGTACGTAGCCTAGCTATTGCAGAGGAGAGGTTTCTTGGGAAATTTAAATCGGGGATTGTTGCCTTGCTAAAATGCTGGTTGATGTTGTTGCTGTTAGTTTACGTCGCACTAGAGCTGCACAATGGGCTATTGGCGACGGTCTGGGAAACATCCCGGAGTATGATCCGAAGACATGCCATCACAATTTTGATCCTCTGCAAAGGGGATGGCACCCCCGCTTCGGTAGCCCGACAACCTGCGCGCGAAGTCGAGCACTTTACGGTAGCACAGTTTAACGAGGACCAATACTGCATATCCTCGGTCCCTACGCAAACTGATCCAAGTGGTTACCCAACCGCACACGCTTGACTTCGGGGATCTGCTGGGAACCGTGTCTTAACGATCAGTCCACTGTGGGACAAATGCTGGTTGTATATTCTTCGTCTGGCGACAGCATTCGCATCTGCACAGGTGACAGCTCGAGGTTGATCATCGTCGCGTGCTTCCTTTGCAAGGGCATCTGCGCATTCGTTCCCCTCGATTCCAACATGAGCTGGGATCCACTGGAGAGTGCAACGGATATTTAGTAAATGAAGAAGGGTATTAATTTCTGGCGTTATTGATGTATTACGGTTATGTATGGCTTCGAGTGCTGATTTTGAGTCTGAGAAAATCACAATTTCTTTTATTGAGTCTTTTAGAGAATGGGAGCGACAATAGGCAAGAGCCTCTTTAATAACGATTAATTCGGTGGTGAAGTTCGAAGCAATTTGGCCAGTGGGTATTTTGAGTTTGACGTCATTTCCTGAGGGGTAAGTGATGGAGATGTCAGCACCACCTCTGTTACAGTCAATATCAGAGGAACCATCTGTGTAGACTATTACGCTGTTTGCCCTGGAAAGAGAACGAACAGTGTCTTCACCTTTTTGTAGTAATACTCGGGTTGGTTCCTTCTTTGAGCATGGTTCAAGTAGGTTAATATTGATTTTAGTATACATACTCAAACTCCTATCAGATGAATGTGAAAAAGTCCGTAAATGGCTGATATACAGATTTCAATAATGCATAAGCTTTATCCAAAACCATTAGTGCCCTAGTCCTGTCACCTAAGGGCATCACCACAAATGAAAGGGTTAATTGTCGGCTTCGCGGACAGGCACTCTCAATACTACTTCAATCCAAGTATATCCAAAACAAAAAGTTCACTAATGTGAAATTAGATTTTCGTTTAAATAAATCATCAAATTAAATGTAGGAGTTAATTTTCCTACCATATCAAGTTTCAAAAATCTGAGTCCATAAAAAGTGGACAAGAAAATAAAAAAAAATGTCATAATTCAAGAAAATGTTAGTTGTTAAACATCAGACATTCAAAGTGCAAAAGAAAATTAACTTTAAAAATAAATAATTGTTTCGATTTCATGAAGTTTTAATCTATTTTTGATCTATTAACCCTTTCTAAAGCCGTGGTAAGTAGACTTACCACCAACTTTTAAAGTCTATGGTGAACTTTTTTACTACTTTAAATTTTGGTTTCCATTTGTTAATAACTTCAGCTTTCTTGAAGTGCGTTGGAATGAAAGTGGTAGCCATTTGTTAGTTTAAGAAAACGTATAAAAAATATAAAATGCTTGATTCTTTTTGAAGATTGTAGAATTTATGAAATTTATTTTATAAATAACGAAAAATAAAAGTCAATAAGTTCCTAATAGGTCGTGTTAAATATGGATCACCAAAAATTTAATGGACCACCCAAAAAATGGCATCTTTTTTAAAACTGAATTGTTTTTTTTCTTCTTATATCAATTGCTATTCTTATAATTATTTCAATTCCAAAATTACTTTAATTAACTTTATTAGAAATAAATGGCCCATTTAAGGGTTAATCTATTTTGAAGTTTTAATCTATTATCATGTAAAATTGTACCAATATATTTTTTAAAATAAAAATTATGAAAATATAATAATTTTTCAACTTTTATAGTCAATTTTTGAGAAGATAATCCTCAACAGACTNATTATTTAACCCTTTCTAAAGCCGTGGTAAGTATACTTACCACCAACTTTTAAAGTCTATGGTGAACTTTTTTACCACTTTAAATTTAGGTTTCCATTTGTTAATAACTTCATCTTTCTTGAAGTGCGTTGGAATGAAAGAGGTAACCATTTGTTAGTTTTAAAAAACGTATAAAAGTTATAAAATGCGTGATTCTTTTTGAAGATTGTAGAATTTATGAAATTTATTTTATAAATAACGAAAAATAAAAGTCAATAAGTTCCTAATAGGTCGGGTTAAATATGGATCACCAAAAATTTAATGGACCACCAAAAAAATGGCATCTTTTTTAAAACAGAATTGTTTTTTTTTCTTATATCAATAGCTATTCTTATAATTATTTCAATTCCAAAAATACTTTAATTAACTTTATTAGAAATAAATGGCCCATTAAAGGGTTAATCTATTTTGAAGTTTTAATCTATTATCATGTAAAATTTTACCAATATATTTTTTAAAATAAAAATTATCAAAATATAATAATTTTTCAACTTCAGTAATTTTTTTTAAGTTCTTCAGTCCGAGGCGCTCAGGGCGTTCTACTTCTATGGGAAGTTTGTTGCCCTGGGTATGAAATCACAAAACGAGTGAATGTACGGAACGGATAAAAGATTAGAGAACGATTTCATAGTTTTTAAAACTTTCCGCGGGCACTGGATTAATGAAGTTTAATCAGCGATGGAGGGAAATAATACAAATGATTTATTCATTTGACACATTGGTTAGGCTTTTACGGTTTCATTAATCTGTACAAAAATGTTTTAGAAAGCAAATTAATAGATATAAAATTTGTAAAAGGGGGAATAATTGGTCCTGTCTGCGTTTATGGAGCTCTGGAACTGGTTATTAATGATCACCCACTTTTTATTTTTGAACATCTTTTTCAAAATTCATCCCCTCCCCCTTTGACACACTTCAAGCGATATTACATAGACATACACGATTCAGAAATGCTATATTTTATTTCATTTTTTTTATATCCGTCGTTGAACAGCAGACCCAATTTTTGGGTTTACGACTATTAATGTTCAACTCCGTAACCTTGTAATTTTGAACCAATCCAGAAGACAAGGAAACTCCTGGATCTGTACCCCAGAGGTATTGATTTGTTATGGGAAAAAGGAGGACTTTGCAACTCGACAGATTTAACGTGCATCAGTTACCATTTACTACACGGGAAGTCTTCGGCCGGCGGGGATCGAACTCTTGGACATGGACCCAGCACCCTACCGAACAGGCTATCCCGGCCTTCAGAAATGCTATAGATCAGTGGTTCCCAACCTGAGGGCGATAGAGCTTCTCAAGGGGGCGATAATCCTTAGGGGGCGACGAGTATTCAAAAGATAAAAATTGCTAATAATATTAATAATAAAAGCTATTTGAGATTGAAATTGAAAATATATATGAAACTTACGGTTCTGGTGTAGACAAAGTATTATGATAGTTGAGAATTTAAAAAAATTCAAGTGCAGGATCGTTTTCGTCATACGATTTGGTATCGTAGGCGAAATTCCTATAAGTCACTCTGTTCCTCTGAGCTATAATACTGATTCCAGGCATATTGATGAGATGGCCGCTGACGTTGAATCAAAACTCATCAAATTTCTGAAAGAAGGTAAATTTGCGTTGCAGATTGATGAATCAACTGTGATAGATTACAAAGCTGTTTTAGCTTACGTGAGATTCATAAATGAGAGTAAGGAGATTAACGAGGAAATGTTTACAAGAACTTTGAACACAGATACAAAAGGATCGTCGATTTTTATATTGGTCAAAGATTATTTTGAGGTAAAAGAAATTCTCGTCACAAATGTAAGTGCTTGTGCAACAGATGGTGCTCCAATCATGTCTGGTTGTCATACTGGGTTTCATGGTCACCTTAAAAAAGAAGTACCGGAAGTTATCTCACCATTCATTATGTCATTCATCGTCAACTTTTGGCTGCGAAAAATTGGTTATTTCTGGCATCAATAAAATAAAAGCTAATTCTCCTAATAACCGTTTGCTCCGAGAACTTTGCCATGAAAATGATGAAGTTTTCGAATTTCTGCTCCTACATACAGCTGTGAGATGGCTTTCAAAAGGAAACTGAGCCGTTTCTTCGAATTGCTGGATTCGGTTACTGAGTTTCTCGCCACCACTGATCTTGTTTTAAGTGAGAGTTTGAAGCAACGCAAGTTGGAAACTGCTTACCTCACCCATAGTCTTGAAAAAATGAAGGAAATCAACGTAAAACTTCAAGGAAATAAAATGAACATTATCAAGGCTAAGGGAATCATATCTTCATTCATCGTCAAGTTTGATATCTAGAAGTCAAACATTGGTTGCAAAGAGCTTAATGCAACTTCCAACTCTTAAAAAGTGTTCAATGGCAGATATCGAGATTCTCGAAAATAAAATCTTAATTTTTACTGATCACCTTGATCAGTTATGGAATCAAGATTTAAAGATTTAATGAAATTGGAAATTCCGGATTGGATTTTCGATCCTTTCTCTTTTGAAGTTGTGGATAAGCTCACTTCCTCTTTGTAGACTGAGATTTTAGATTTGAAGTATGACTGTGAGGCTAAAGTCGTCTTTAAAAAATACGCTTACAAGTTAGCTTGGGTAAAGCTTATGGACACTTATCCACAATTGTGGAAACAAACTGAGCCACTTCTTATCTCGTTCCCGTCAACATATTTAGCGGAGACAGGATTTAGTTCTGTCTTCCAGCTGCTCACAATGCAAAGAGCAAGGTTGGACATTTGCTTCAAAGGAGACCCCCGTTTAAATCTGAGGAGCATAAAACCTGACATTCAAGCTTTAACTTGAAATACACCAAGCACAGGGCAGTCATTGAAGTGGTAAAAATGTACTTTCTCAATCTTCATTTTTTTTCTCAAATTTTAGTTTTTCTTGATTACATTAAAATATGAATTTAAAAAAATGTACTTTTGTTTTGATTATTCCGTTTTAAATATCATTTCTTCTTGAAAAAAAAACGATGCACAATTTTTTTTTAATTAATAAAAATGACAGGATAAATGTGCCTCCTTATTTGCATTACAATTTAAATTAAAATCAAATAACATTGCATATATTCAGTGTTTGGTTGCTCACAAGCAACAATGAATGGTTTTTTGAGCAAAAAGTGAAAGGGGCGATATGTGTCAGCCAGCATTGGTCCACAAAAGGTTGGGAACCACTGCTATAGATCATACACTGGTTATCATAAAGTTCACCAGTTTATGATAAACTAAGGAAAAATGACCAGGGCTCGAAAAAACTCAGAAATTTTACCCGTCCCCGAGGACGGCTTGTCCAGCAATGTACCCGCCCTCCTTTGAAACTAACCCGTCGCTTCTAAATAAATAAAAATATAATTTTCTCTTATTTATTACTAACATTTATATAAATTACACTATGAATTAGCAGTTACTAGGATTACATTATACAATAATAAAAGAAATACTAGGTTACTAATAGTAAAACCTAGTATCTCTTTTTTGAAATAATTTATTTCTTTAATGAAATAATTTAAATAACAAAGGTCAAGTTATCTGTCCATTTATCCGATGGTACTGCGTTTTTTAAATGAATCAAATATGACGTTTGCCAGTTCTACAATCAATCAAGTCAATGATGTACAGAGGTTTCTGCACAGAAATCTGAAAGAGGTTTTCCATTTAGGTAGATGTTCATAATTGCGATTAAAGCTTCTTTTTTAAGACAAGGCCATTAAGTAATGTGTTTTTTTAAGTTCATTGCTGAAAAGCCCCTTTCAACCGCTGCAGTACTCCCAGACAGAGAAAACATCAATTCCACCATGCGTAGTATGTTGCTGTATTTCGAGATTAGAGGGTCATTTTAGTAGTGAGGTGCTAGACTCATGTAAGATAACAAAAATCGAAAATGTATCACGAACATTAGCGAGAAAAATCGCCGTCCGCGCGGACGTTGGATTCGAGAAATTTATTGTTCGCGGGGAATTTTTGACCGCCGAGGACGGGCGGTTTTTCGAGCCCTGAAAATGACCATAAATCAAAAAGTTACGCAATGAAATTGATTCACGTTGTACTGCAATAAGAAAAAAAATATTAACAAGATAATTATGGTGTAACAGAAAATAACATTTGCATAAAATGAACAAATAAGACGTCACAACTTGAAATAGAAATAGTATCTTTAATATGGAGTAAGATCACCTCTAGCATCAAGTCAGCTATGCTTTCATTTCTGCGGTCTGTTATAAGTGCGAACCATTTTCTGCGAAGCAGTTGCAAAAGTAAAAAGGATCTGAAGAGGATTGAGAACAGCTACACGTCTTCCTAAAGCATCTAAAAATGTTCGATTAGATTCAAGTCAGGTGATGGAGCTGGTCATCCATGCGCTGAATTGTTTTTTGCTGCAGATAATCATTCACGATGCGAATCCTGTGCAGCATTGCGTTATCATCCTGTATCGTTCACTAGCACGAAATTATCATCGATGGCACCACCAAAAATACATACTCCACACATAGACAATGCCTCTTTGGTGTTGTTGCTGTTGACGTATGCCTGTTTAGGCAGAGTTGGGTGTGATTGTTCTTGTTTTCCAGTGGCGCCATCTATGGTCAAGAATTCGACTTCTGCCACACCATACGTCGCATCCGCCTATAGAGCGGACCCATTCATACATCCATCCACGGATCGTAATTTTGACCTGAATCAGAGAACGATCGATCTCCAATCCAGTACCTCCAGAGGTCTTGATTTGTTGTGAACATGGAGGACATTTTGCGACTCGACAGATTTAACGTACATCAGTCACTTTACTACACGGGGAGTATTCGGAAAGCGGGAATCGAACCCACGAACATGGGCCCAGCGCCCTACCGATCAGGCTATCCCGGACCATGCCTCTTTGGTATGCATCTCGATGTACGATGGATGACTTCGGGTCTCAAGCCCTCTCCAAATCAAACAACGCCTACAATCGTTTTGAATGCTAAGTCTGGAATATTTTTTGAAGAAAACAATTCTTAATTGGTCAACTGTCCAGTAGACACATTGTTACACCCACCTTAAGCTTTCCTTTTTATGGATAGTCGACTGTGTAAAGCCAACACCTCCTAGAAGTAGAAAGGCCTCAGCACGGATCAATTTAGTAGTCCGATGTGACGAAGTTAACTGCGCAGTAGACGAAAAATAAGAAAGATGTCATTACGTTAGGGGTACTAAGATGCGCAGTTGTTGAAAATACGAAATATGTCATTACGTTTGGACTACTAAGGGATATTTATGGTAACCCGTGCTGAAGCCTGTTCTTTCTAGGCGGTATTGGTAAAGCTAAGCACAGATGGCGTTAGCGGTAAAACGTCATCGTAAGACTTTCGGTTAACTACTTCCTATTGATTTTTTCGCCAAAAAACTTAAAAAAGCGCGCCATCCAATATTAATATACTGATAGTGTTTTCAATTTAACGCATTCTTTCAATTTAAAATCCAACGAAACAAACAACTAATGAATTCGGAAGACTACATACTATGATGCAACCCAAAAACTATCAAACGGTAATATTTCACACAAATATCGCCAACTAAAAGATAACACTCAAAACATAGCAAACCCAACACGCTATTTAAGTTTTGATATTAATTTTGTCCAGGGTGCGTAGCCAAATCTTTGAATCAAAAATAAGCACTTTTTAAAAACTTTTCAAGCACTCAAAAAATTCATATTCAATCAATGATATTATTGAAAAACAAAAACTTTTTATAAACAGTTTTAGTATTAAAAAAACCAAAAAGAAACGGGCGTAAATCGAAACAATCAGTACTTTCCCACATCACCGAGTGAATTCAACTTGACCCTGAACTCAGAACAAAAGTACAATTACCCCCTACGTCAAAAAAAGTGTTAGAAGTAAAATAAAATAAACAAGAATAAAATTAAAATAAATTAAAAAGAAAAACATTGCATAAGGATCTGATATTCTCTATCCGAATTGGAGCACTCGGGTTTCGGTTTCAAGTGCGCGCGCATGCGCAAGTCATAACGTGGGTACGACATGAAGTCCGCGTGAATGATTACGTAGCAAAGTCCCCATTTTTCGTGAAATCCATGGGATCCACCAGATATCACTGAAGGGAAAGAAAAAAATTATTCGGAAAAAAAGCACTTCTTAAAAACGCTAGCTGAAAAAAGCGCCTTTAAAAGCTTTTAAAAACGAAATCCCCCCAAAAGCACCTTTAAGTACTTTTTACAAACGCTACGCACCCTGTTGTCCTATTTAATGCTCTTAGGCTTAGGCTGAGATGTAGTACGAAGTTCCTGCCCGCAGGGCGGGCACTCCACTTCTTCGTCTGTGTTGATGCCCGTGGGCGACTAGAGTACTGTGTTTAGCAATAAAAAACAAGAGAAATAACAGAAGCACTGGTTGACGTAAGTTTAAACTTGTTGTCGTGCTTATAAAAGGACAAGTTAGGTATAAATCTAGGGGAGGATACTCTCGAGTCGGCGATCACATGAAGGTCACTTCACCTCTCTGGGAGTATCCATAGTTGGTTGAAGGGAGGGGAAATATTATTTATAGAGCCTTGAAAGAACACAGTCTAACGATAGGAATGACGTTATTGGGTTATAAAGTCTCATATCTGGTATTAATTCTTTATTCAGTAGTTTATTGAAGCCTGCTGGATCAGGATTTTTCGCTTTACTGAAGAATGAGATATTTAGCTTACTGATAGAGTCATTGATAGTGCTGATGTTGAGGTCGTTTTTGATGGCGCTGTTCGGGAGGTAATATGGGGCTCCAGTAATTCGCCTTAGAAATTTATTTTGAGCAACTTCAAGTTTCTTTTTTTGGGTTTGTTTAATGCATCCCCAGGCGGAGCATGCGTAGGTTAAGATTGGTCTTATACACATTGTGTATAGTGTTTTCTTAAGGTTTAAGGAAAGTGGTGAGCAGGAGTTTATTAAAAGCCGGAGGCAGCTGTAAGCGACATGAGCCTTGTTGATAACTTTTTTGATTTGAAGATTCCAGGTTAGGTTACTATTAATAGTAAGCCCTAGGTAATCAGCTTGATTAACAATTGTGACGATTTTGCTGAAGAGAATGACATTTTTATTTAAGATTTTCTTCCTTCTTATAGTTTTGATTTTTTGGCGTTTATTGGTATTTTGTTATCTGCACGCCAGGTTTCTATCTCTGGCATAAGGCTGTTCATATTTTTTATAGCCTGATTAGGATTCATGGATCTGATAGCTATAGCTGTATCATCCGCGTAACATGCTATAATTTGGTTTATATTGTTGCTGCATGAGGGGAATTTAGGGCTTACATGTTGTGTTAATAAGATAAAAAACATTGTTATAATTTTTAGCTGGTAGTTTAAAGTAGATTTTTAAGTTAATTTCTGTATACTCTGTTAGGAGCACTTGTCTTTTGATTCCATTCTGCGTGTAATATCCGTATCTATATCGCTTTCTTCGAAACTGGTTAGTAAGTTCAAAAACGGTAAGTTAACACGTTGAATGTCATGGGGGTCACCTGTAACCGGCACTGAGTTTGTTCGTAACGCCACGGTAGTCACCGGTGACTGGCGAAGCCAAGATTATTAGAAACACATAATTCGAGTAAATTTGTAATTTTTTTTTTTAGTATTATTATCGTTACTAAAATGGTTTGAAGAAATTAATGCAATATAAAACACACAAAAATAGNAATATAAAAATTTGATTTTTATTCATTTGGCGTGAAAATGCGAAGTTAGCCCCCGAATTTAATTTTCAGGATTATGTCCAAAATAAGGGTGGTCAAAAAAATTTAAAGGGTGGTCATTTGTGGTCAAAAAATGGTCAAACGAATGCAGTTTGAATTTTTTATTTTCCTCATTTTCGGGGGCTATCTTCGCATAGCTTATGCGGTCTGTTATAAGTGCGAAACATTTTCTGCAAAACAGTTCCAGGTGTAACAAGGGTCTGAGGAGGATTGAGAACAGCTACACGTCTTCCTAAAGCATCTAAAAATGTTCGATTGGATTCAAGTCTGGTGATGGAGCTGGCCACTCCATGCGCTGAATTGTTTTTTACTGCAGATAATCATACACGATGCGAATCCTGTGCAGTGTTGCGTTATCATCCTGTATCGTTCACTAGCACGAAATTATCATCGATGGCTCCACCAAAAATACATACTCCACACATAGACAATGCCTCTTTGGTGTTGTTGTTGTGGACGTATGCCTGTTTAGGCAGAGGGGGTTCGATTGTTCTTGTTTTCCAGTGGCGCCATCTATGGCCAAGAATTTGACTTCTGCCACACCATACGTCGCATCCGTCTATAGAGCGGACCCATTCATACATCCATCCACAGATCGTAATTTTGACCTGAATCAGAGAACGATCAATCTCCAATCCAGTACCCCCAGAGGTCTTGATTTGTTGTGAACATGGAGGACTTTTGCGACTCGACAGATTTAACGTACAACAGTCACTTTACTACACGGGGAGTCTTCGGCCAGCGGGAATCGAACCCACGAACTCTCGGACATGGGCCCAGCGCCCTATTGACCAGGCTATCCCGGACCATGCCTCTTTGGTATGCATCTCTTTATCATACATGCGATGGGTGATTTCGGGTTTCAGGCCCTCTCCAAATCAAACTACGCCTACAATCACTCTGAATGTTAAATCTGGAATATTTTTTAAAGAAAACAACCCTTAGTTGGTCAGCAGTCCAGTAGACATCTTGTTGCGCTCTCCTTAAGAGTTCCTTTTTATGGATAGTTGACTGTGTAAAGCTAAGCACAGATGGCGTTAGCGGTAAAACGTCATTGTAAGACTTTCGGTTTACTACTTCCGATTGATTTTTACGCCAAAAAACTTAAAAAAGCGTGCCATCCAATATTAATATTCTAATAGTGTTTTCAATTTAATGCATTCTTTCAATTTAAATTCCAACGAAAGAAACAACAAATGAAATTGGAAGACTTCGCAAGCTTGCTATGATGCAACGCAAAAAGTATCAAACGCTGATATTTCAGACGAATATCGCCAACTAAAAGATAACACCTTTTTTAATGTTTTGATATTAATTTTGCCCTATCAAATGCTCACATCTTGTCTTAATAAGATAAAAAAAACATTATAATTTTTAGCTGGTAGTTTAAAGTAGATTTTTAAATTAATTTCTGTATACTCTGTTAGGAGCACTTGTCTTTTGATTCCATTCTGCGTGTAATATTCGTATCTATATCGATTTCTTCGAAACTGGTTAGTAAGTTCAAAAACAGTAAGTTAACATTCTTGGTTTAATAAATTCAATTTAGTGGATTTTTATCCACCACTATTTGTAAACAATTCGTAGGCTTATAAAATTCACCACTTTTTTTTATATATAAATATCATGCTGAATTTTAAAAACTTGCAAAATTTGTCAATATTTTCAAATTTAGTTTGTACTTATTTACCGTTCTGGTTAGACCAGCAAACCATGTAAAGTTACCGTGGCATTCAACGTGTTAATAACAGTTTTTTAAAACTGTGACGAGAGAAGTCATAAAATTTAGGCTCGTATTTATTTTGTAACAAATTCTAAAAAATATAAGTAGTTAAAACTATGACTATCTATGAACAGTCCGGTGGGATGGCATGAAAATATTCTCTCTTTATAACTACTTGAACTGAAAAGCATTTTTAGCACTCTGATTTGATTTCTTGGTATTGTCTTCGGTTTACGTCGCTTTGTATCTCCTCCCTAGCATTGTTTCTGTATAATTTGTTCTCCAAAATGTTAATTTATCATAAATCAGATCTTAAAATTTTAATGATTTCATTTTCCATCTCAAAAATTGAATTATAAATTATTTGAATATTTGTTTCGCAGCGGGGGAAAAATTACTTTGCACTAAAATTCTTAACTTAAAAATAACTTAAGTTTCCATATGACTAGAAAATATTTTTTACAAAACGGAGCAAGTTGGTCTCTCTGACTCGGAGCGTGATTAGATACCGCAACACTTTACGGAATGAAAATCATGCAAATAGTTCAAAAGCTGTGTTATAGTTATAATGTTTATTTATAGTGTGTTATAGTGTTTAGTTGTGCAAATAATTTAAATACCAAAGAGTTTTTTTTTTTACCAGTTATTGTATTCAGCAAAAAATCACTTAGATACCTTAATATAAAAAATCTTGTAATAAAGTTCTGTATAAAAATATCAATGCGTAAACAGTTGCAGATTGTATTTTTGATATTTTTATAAATAATTAAATAATGTTGTGGCGAAATCTACTAATTTTTAATAAGTTTCTGATAAAATAAAATAACAAAATAATTATTGAAAAAGTACATAATTTAGGTTTTCATTCTCCTTTAAATTAAACAGGGCTCACACACACCTGGAAAGAATAATAATTAAAAAGTAGTAGTAATGTTAGGTTGTTAAAATTATTTTTTTTTTCATTTTTCAGAACCAGAATGTCTTAATAAATCTAAATTAATGTATCTGGATCCGAATTTTCATGATTTGAATTAAATTTTAAAGCGAGATCTAATTCTAAGGAACTTTTGTCTTTTTTAACACATGCCAAAGCTTAATAAATAGTGTGTGCTACTTTTTAAGCTCTGGCATGTGTGGACTAATCTTTGTTAAAGTGCAAGCAATAAACTCCGACTACGGAATTTCTAAAGTTTCAGAAAATATTTTCCCTATTTTTAGCAAAAGTTATGTATTAATAATTTTAAAATTTAGAATAAAGAGAAATTTGTCCAGCAATACTTTTAAATGTTTAAAACTTGCTGATTAACGGGTGGAATAGGCTGATGGTCTTGTTTTAAGTCGTGATAATTGTTGTATATACTTTAGTTCACTACTACTGAAGAAATATTTTGCAAGGTGCTCAAATATTGTAGGGTATGGTGTATGCTAAAAAAAAGAAATTATTTCATACAATAACCCTAACTTGCTATTACTTTTCTTTATTGTGGCTTATTTCTATCGCAAATAAGGGTCTCATATATTACTGAATATAGTAGGAGCTACATTTTTCATCAAAATAAATCATTGCCTCTGATAAAGTGTAGCTAAAGTGGTAAGTGATTAGCTGTTACAGCACTGTTTAAAGTCTTATAGTTTTTTTTATTATAAATAAAATGTTAAATTTTTCAGGTTTTCTTTTTGAAAACAGACTTTATGTTTCCCTCTTCTTTGAAAAAACATTTCCTTCATCGTAGATGCATTGATTTAACTTTTCGACGAAAGATTCTTTACTTTGAATATATGTCCTAAATTCTGAGAATTCTTTTTCACCTAAGTGACCTCCTAGCTCTTTGGGCAGAATTTCTGGAGAAAAGAATTTGTGCAAGCTTGATAAATTGTTGCCATGGAAGTGGAACTAGAAATAAAGGAATTTAATAAATAGCATATAAAATAGTCAATAGACGCCACCATGCAATAAAGTAGATCTTCTATTTCGGTCTGTTTGTTTTGAAAACTTTACATACCTCGAAATTTATGAAATTACCTGTACACACAATCTGGATTGAATATATTTTTAATGCTTACCTCGAAACAAAACAAAATCCTTCAAATTCTAGGTATTTCGAATTTCGCAGATTAATCCCTTTACAATCGCATTATTTTTAAGTGAAAAGTCATAAAAGTACTTATTTTTTATTCAATAGAATTACATATAAAATGGTGCTAGTACAATATATGTATTCCTTTTTGATTTTCAGAATTTTTTATCTTGAAATTTAAAGCTCCATTTATCCATGTAATTCTGACTCCATAATATATACAATATTAAAAATATTTTATTACAAAACGCAAATCACGTGTAATAAAAGAGAGTGCAAGAAGCCCCAAGCTAAGAGTATAAAATATATATCACAAATACACATATTTAGATAGCTAGTTTAAATTAAATAAACTTTTTTCAGTTGCATTAAGAAATAGTCTGGTGCAGCAACCTAGTGTGTAAATTAGAAAATAAAGAAAATTTGGGTTACAAAAGATTGATATATTTAAATCTTTTTGGCTTATTGCTTTTGAACGCTCTAGCCCAGAAATAACACGGGTACTAGAAATAGGAGATGAAAGCTCACCCCGTGATATTTGCAAGAGAGAGAAGGTAGGTGTTAAAGAAATCATTACTCGAAAACAACTCTTTTCCAGCAGTAGAATTCCATGAGAATGACGGAAGAACGGACGGGCAAAGAGAAACGTGCTAAAGAAGTGCACCCAAAATGGCTTTCAAAAGGCTATATTCAAGAATGAATCTGAAAAGAGCTAAGGAGAACGAACAAAAGAAAGCGTATGAACATTAGAAAAGAAGAAATCACGAAAATAAATGGCTAGAAATTCATTCAAAAGAGTGAAATATCTTAAAATATGAAATAAATGTCAACGATTTCTTCAAATAATTTTTACAGGTGGTAGTTCTCTTGATAATATGTGGAACCTTGAAGCATGTAAAATTTGTTAACAAGAGCTGCGTTTCAGAAAACAAAGAACATAACAATAAACTAAACTTTACAGATTTTGTTAATTTAGGAAGGCTAAAAAACGAAAAGAAAAAATACAAAGTTAGACGTCAATAGTTTTTTTCTAAACGGCAGGCACTAAAATTATTTTCTTAGTCACAGAAGGTGTCAAAAGTGTTACTCATCTTACGTTGCCTGTTCTTAATCTAATTTTAGGATAAATGGGAAAAGGACCGTAATAGCCTCAGACGCCCAGTTCCATTACAACGAACGAACACCTTCAAATTCGGTAAAAGCCAATTGCTTAGCTCTCTGTGAAAGTGTAGAACCGAGTTAGCTGTGAATTAGGTAGTCCGCGCAGACTGTTTAAAAAAGTGAACCAGTTGTGCGCATGAACCCGAAACTTTTTATAAAAGCAATTGAGAGAAATTTATCTTATATATTTGAGAATTGAATCTGTAGTGGTTGATAAGTGAATCTTCTTTAANTAAATAAAATAAATTTTTAGTCATATATTTGCTACCACTTTCTTATTTTAACTATATTCTGTATTTATTGACTCGTTCAGTAAGTGGATATCCTTCACAGTGGTCTGATCGGACTACCTATTAAAAACCGTGCGCAGACTTTCAGTTATAGGAAGCGTCACACAGCCACAGAATACATACCACAGATACGCGTTTATAGGGTGGGCCACATTCACAAACAACAGAGGACAACACACAGAGAGAAGCATCCTGCCCTGAGAGGGATTCAAACCCGCAGCCATTGGCTTGGCAGTCAGGCACGTTAACAGCTCGTTCACCTGGCCGGCTTAAACGTCAATAGTTATCAAAAGACTATTATACCACTAAAAGGTACCTTTGTATGTTTAAACAAAATGCAATGAATGTACGTATAAATTAATCAACAATCATATTGCCCTATTCTACAGCGTGCAAAAAAATGGTTTTCTGTGAATTATCTTCACGCGCTCTCGGATCTTCACGTTCCAGAACTCAATCTTGATGGTTCGTGAGAGTGACCTTAAACATTCTACTCAATTAGTGCAGATGATATTTTAAGTTACGAAATCACTCCCCCGAACGTTCTTTCTCCGGATTAACAGAGTGTTGTAAACAGCACTACTTAAAAATAAATTTAAAACAATTTATAAATAAAAAGTGGTTAAATTTTGATCACATTATTTATCTATTTTCAAGGCCAAAAAGGGATTTGTTCATAAATAAATCATGTTAAAAATTTGAATGATATATATTTAAATCACAATAATGTCGAATGCGATATTGTAGAACAAAATAAAATGGAATGAATTTGGCTAATGCTTTATATTTGTTTCCTTATAAGATGCTGATGTATTTATATAAGAAGTTGAAATTGTTGAAATTTTCCTGAATGCTTATAACTAATTTTAATAACCCTGCACTCTCATCTCTCTCTAGTCAAGTGGAGAAGTACTGGAGAAAACTGCGGTGCAAGGGTGTAGCAGCCAAACGACTGAAATTTGATAATAATAATGTTTTGAAAAATTTTACATGGCAAAACTGTTGGCAAAATTTGAAAAATCATGCTTGAAGCGTGGTGTGGATCGACCGAAATGTTGTTAATAACGACTTTTTAGCTTTAATACCAGCAATTTTGAAAGCTTGAAATTGTTGGAACCTCCGGCATTTGATGCGGAGTGCCACTAACACATTCATCGAATCTATTTCGTCATGTATTGGAAAGTCATGAAATTTAAAATCTTAAGTTGATTGAAGAGAAAATTTAGGAGATCCCCAAAGTAAAGGATAGAATATCATAGCACTGGCTATATGCAACGCCTCCTATAACTGAAAGCCTCCATACGGTTTCTTATAGGTAGTCCGATCAGACCACTATAAAGGTAAACTAGTTTACAAAAGAGCCATTTATTACAATATCTAGTAAAAATTAGAAAGTGATAGTAAATATGCGTCTAAATTTTTTTATTTATTTATGAATATAATTGGTTTGTCTCATTTACTTGTCTACCATCAAAGATTCAATTCTCAAATATATATGTTAACCTTCTCTCGAATACTTTTTAAGTCGAATTTGGTTTCATGCGCACCACTGGTTCACTTTTTAAATAGTCTGCGTAGATTTCTTATAAAAAAACGTGTGGAGGCTTTCTGATGTATGAGGTGATGGTATATGTCAAGCAAAGAACAGAGTTGCACTATAGTAAAAACACTTAAAATCGATGGAATTAAACAAGGTATAAATGAATTTAAAAAAGGTATTTCACTTCGTAAAATAAGTATTCAGAAGGTTAGGAAAATTATATCTAATAGTTAGAACAATTCGCTATAAGAATAGTAAAGTATTATTAGTGTACCTCTGTTAAAACAGTGACCCGGTCATCCGGGTACAAACCGCTGGTGTCGGGTTGCTCACTGTAGTACTCTCCAGGATTGTACAAGGCCGAAAGGATTGCCAATAATTTTGAAGTAATAATTCCATCTTTATGTAAAAAAGCTTCTGTAATTTTAGTGGTATTGAAAAGGGAAATTTTTTATTTTCCTACCCTCATTTTGGATGATACAAATTTTGCAGGTTAAAAATTACACCATTTCTAAAAGCTTCAAACATAGTTCCTACTGCTAGGCTAACCGCAATTTGGAAATAACATCCCATAAAAATGCGTTTGCTGTTTTGCACCATTTTAAAAACTGCAAATTACATCAAATGAGTATACGTATGTTCTACGATGTTCTTATTTTTAAAAAATAATAATTAATTTCAATTTATTTCTGCGTCAAATTGAACTTATTTCTAAAACTTTAAATTTACACTGAATTAAATTTTATTTTATTTTCTAAAGAGTCATAAAATCATTTTTAAAAAAACACTAGTATATTCACAAAACCGAGATAATTTCTTTTCTCACGTTGGCAATGAAAAGCTTAAACAAACTGAGCTATAAGTTAGGCAGAAATCAAAGATTAAGGCTAATACAAACAAAAAAATCGTTCTGTTCTTTTATTTTAATTACTAGCCGCCTAAGGCGGCCAGCTGTCCGCCACTCTAAAGGTTTTCTCAAATAAAGTTTTTTAAAACATAGCAGGAAATCTGAAGATTAGTGGACAATTAAAGTGTTCCTGTCCTGCAATTTTGTCTTCATATCCAGTTCTGCTGCAGATGTGTTATAGCTCTTGAGGATGTTTGAAATTATATAGCTACAACGCTTAAGAAAAAAAAA